CCTGTTATTTGTTTGTTTATAAAACATGAATACATTTGTATATGTGGACATCCTCATTCATTTGCTTATGTACACAGCAGGCTTTGACTTGCTGTATGGACAATATTTACTGACATGAAACTGAAGGATGAACAGTCGGTTATTGTTTCAATAAGAGTCTAATAAGAATCTATTGTTCTAATCAACTTTAATTAAATTGTGTTTTTGTTCTTGTGACAGCCTGAAAGGTTGGCCGCACAGTTCTGTAACAGCGTGCGTATATTTACACACACACAACCACACATACACACATGCAACCATGCAAACATGTTCACAGCTATGCAGACATGACATTTTATTTTATAGTTTCTTTCTCTGTATCTATTATACAAATCACAATACACATTAGTTTCTTTCTTCTTCTTTATTTATAGAAACCATACATTTACCATTAACCATTACATTTGTTACTACTAAATTAATTTGGAGTGCACACAATTTAGTTTCGTTGAATGATTAATGTTTGTTTCTTTTTTGAGTTACCGAGTGGTGCACTGGAGACAGAAAGCGGCGGCCGGGTGGCTTTCGGTGCGGCAAAAATTGGAGTCCAGGCGGGAACGCCGGATTTATGCAAAATGGTTCCGCCTGGGCAAACCAACCGCTTGAATAAATGCAGGGGGAAAAGTTATTTTAGATATCCTCTTTGATAAAATATTTACATATTGATTTTGTTAATTTGTTTATATTGGTTAATGTTTGATTTTATTATTTTTGTGGTAATGTTGTTATTGCATTTTTTTTTGTTTTTGTGTTGTATGTAGTAATGTGAATTTTTGTCTTTACCCCTTTGTAATTAAAATTAGCTCATCCTTTCCTTTATCAGCCTGGCTGTTCTTCATTGTAGGAGGTCATGTTCCTTTATTTTCTTTCTTTTTTTGTTTAATTATATTAATTTGAGGAGTTATGTCCTATTTGTTGAGAATAAATCTCAAATTGAGGATTTTTGGCTTGTGTTCTGTTTCCTTTGACCCTCGGTCCCTTACAGTTCTAAATAAATTTCATTCATTGCATTCATTTTACATAAATGCAAAAAATTTTCAGGAGAGTATTTGAGGCAACGCGCTTGCACTTTCCAGTTGCACCTACAGTAGTTGAGATGACAGGGAGGTTCTGCGACTGCGGGAAATGCAAATGGCTGAAATTTAAGCACGACGCAATGAAAAGTACACATTTGCAAACCCACCTAAAGTTACAAACAATGGCGCCAATGAGAACAATCATGTGGTGAATGTTGATCCGCCAGCAGAAATCAATCGAGTGTTTTCAGAGAGAGTGCTGAAAGGATGAATCTTGATACGTTGCATTCATTGCGTTCAGCGCAAAGGGCTGCTAAATGTAAAATCTCTGTTGCTCATTCGCAGGAAGACGATGAAGGCTCTTGTGTTGAGCCCAATGAGCCTTACATCCAGAAATAGAGCAAGGGTGTTTCTTTGTTGACATCGCTTTGACTCACATGCTGAAAATGGTGGACGTGAAACATCAAACTGAGAATATAGTAATGCATGCCTTGGAAATCCAGGAGACAGAACAATATGGGAGATGGGTCTGAAATACAACAGACTCCAGGGGGAAAAAAAGCAGTGTTGGCAGGTATAGTGGGCAGGGGGACCGAACTTCTACCTCAAGTTGCTGTAAATCTCAAAAAACGGGTCCACCGTTTTTATGTTGTTAAATTGAAAGAAATAGGATTCGGTGTGTTTGTATCACCCCAATATGACGGTCTATACACTATACCTACACACGACTTTCCCCATAGGTGCCCTTTAAAATGTAAATTATTGTTATTTTCGTTATTGTTGAAATATTAATAATAAATGTAAAACTGTTTAAATGTGCGTCTCAGTCAACTCTATTTTTATGCATCTGCATAAAGACAAATTATCCTCAGTATTTAATATATTAAATGATAGCATTTAATTCTAAAGAGAGAAAAAAAAACACAAGAGAGATACAATTGCTGGTTTTAGTTGTTTATTTCAGATGATGTTGGTATTACATTTCATCGCACAAAAGGGTTGTATATTCTTTTTTTAAAGCATAACCATAATTTAATTTCACTGAGGTAAATAATGCTCAATGATTCACATTCAACCACTCATTCTTAATATAAAGACATGACAGAAATAATAAAGACAACTCTATAGGTAAAAATTAATTACTCATCATGCCCATAGCCATCACAAAGGGATCAATAAAGCACAAGAAATTAGGAAAACTCATCTATAAGTGATGAATGTATAAAACTGCTAATAATACAGACACGGGTTCACAGAAGCTTCGCTCATAAGTGACAAAACACTGAAATTTAAAATCATTCTGCATAACGTATGAAATATCAAAGCTTCATTCAATAAAATCACAAGACCGTCAGTTTAATGAGTCCTCAAAGTCACAATACACTAAAATGTAATTTTACCCAATTGAGTAAAATATGCACAAAACTAATTGCTGGTGTAAGGATGGCTATATCTCTCCATAATATTAAAGGTTCAGGACACCCTGGAGAACTTTTTATTTTATTTTAACAGATTTGTGTGTGTTGAGCATCAGTTAAGACAATGTTAGCACCTGTCAGCTTTAATTGTGGGGAAAACTGGATAATTTTGAGCTTTTGTCAGCTATTTTCAGCTTCCGGGTTTAAAATGATTTTGGGGGCGGATCAAAATCGGTGACGTAGCGCAGTACTGCAAGTGCAATGATGACGCGTCGGTTTCTCATTATTATTCATAGCGGAGTTTCCTTAGTATGAGAAGAGCCGGGTGCTTAAATATTCATGGGAGCACTTGCTTTCCGAAGGCAAGACAGACTTGCCAGTTTCAAGCAAGCTGTGAGACACAGACCAACGGAACGCAGTAGCCGTTCATGAAGGCTCGCATGTGTTTGTTTCCATGATCCGCGAAGTTTGTTGCATGTTTTATTCCCGCGATCTTGTCAGGGCCGATCATACAGCAAAGCCGTGTGCGTGCTGCTAGCATTTTTGTCGGGAGAGCAGCACGCGAATTAGAGAATGGCGGACGTTGACTTTTATCAGGAGTTCGTTTACATTCAGACACATGGCCGTGCTGCTGTGTTTGCCTAAATCCTCTATATTACCAGCAGGGCTAATGGTTAAAATAGACTGGTCAGGAGACCTGCTGCACTGAGTCTGCATTCAAGATCTATAATTTAGACACGGGGATCGAGGGAGAATCCTCTTTATAGTGTTTACATGAACACACTTATCTTTGTAATAATATAAATTGTGGTTATGTATATATGAAATTACGAATAACAAATGTAGCAGGGCATTAAATTGCTGTTTATTTCTTTGCATTTTAACATTGTAAACTATAAACTCATCCGTCTTCTCAGGGTTAGGGTTAGGGTCAACAACAGTTATTCGCTCCCCTTCTCCCCTGCTGGCCACGCCTACTCCTGCCCGATGCTCGCGGAGCTCCACGCCCATTAATCATGCATCTTTTGAAAAAATTCTGAAGTAGACTTCAACCAAAAGTGGGGGGTGTCATGGCTCTTTAAACCCTGAAAACTGTTATGGAACTCCACACAAGACAAGACCACGAGAATGGTCAGGCACTAAAACAATAAACGTTCTAATCTGAGAAGAAGATCAGCTAGGAAAGCAGTTGTTCAGGTTGTCTCGATCATGCATCCTGAGCCCCCCTCTTTGCCCTGGACTTCACTTTCTCCACCAGAGCAGCTCACTCACATTCCACTAAGAATATCCAAGTTTTAATATGGTGTATCTTGTGGCTCTATATTCATGTTTGGTGTCATTTTAAATGTCTCTGTGTAATTGGTAAAGTGGTCCTAATTTCACTGTAATATTTTACAATCTCCCTTATATCAGTTAATTTGGGTTTTGACTTTGATAAGATCTTTTTCAGATGCTCAACTCCAGGGAAACTGGTCTTCACATCAACTCATGACCAGGCTAGGTTCTTGGTGAAGCTTTTATTGTCATGAATCACTTGTGGTGATTTGAGTATTTAAGGGAAAGGTGCAGACGTGTCTGGGGGATTCTGTAGCCAGGATACCCCATTGCAGTTTGAGAGTCTCTGAGCTCTACATCAAGGCTTATATGCTGCAACGTATTTCTACACAGTCAAGTATCAATCTCTAACTCTTAAATGTATCTTTGAATAATTGATGTTGTACAATCTTGATTGGCTTATTTTGTTTAATTATGTGAATTGGAATGAAAAATATTTGCCTGACAAATAAATGTCAAATTCTTGTTTAACTCTAATATCTCCTGAAATCTTTTAAATCTAGTAGATTGTTTAGGCTGATGTTTCCCCAGCCTACGACCAGGATTAGTCATACATTCAGGCTCAATGGATGGAGAATGGACACAGCATTAGAGACCTGATGATTTCTGACAATCACTGACTTAGTATGATATAATTTAGTGGCTAAATCAAACTTTCTTTAAGTTTGTGCAAGCATGGGGCAGCCTATTATTACTTAAAGGAAATTAGCTTATCTGCTAAGATCCAAAACTGGCGAGGATTTGTCCATGGGCAGATGAACTGGCCAGCATACTGACTCTAAGCGACTTTAGGTAAATGATGAACCATTAACTTAAAATAAGGATTTATTAGGTTAATTAATCTAAATTAGACCAAATCTCAACCTGTAAGGTGATCAGCTTGAATTAGATGAATCTAAATTTTAAATCATGATAAATTCGAGTCAGATTAATATTCGGAGCTGGAAACAGATTGAAATAAATTTTACAAATAAAAATATTTATTTTCACATGTGCCGAAAGGCTTACACACATTTAACCTTCACCCATGCTGTTAGTTTCATCATAGGACTAATAGATGGACCCTTACATTGGATTATAGTTTTTTTAATGTAATTTATATAACAGGTTTTGCCTTTGTCTGTATTTTACCCAATTTGAGTTGAAAGAACCCAGCTTTACGTGTCATTTTAGAAAGATGCAAAATCCCCACAAAGCTGTGCTTCAAATATGCTCATCACTATCATAATGCATTAATGCCTGCTGAAGTTTAATATTTTATCTACAATTATTACTTCAATGAAAAGTGAACACATTCCTCATCTTACTTCTTCACTCTCAGTAGTTTCTGCAGATGAAGTTGAGTTTATCAGTTTCAGGACGGCTGATCCAGGTCCGATTTCCACCAGACTGAACTGCTCCAGATCTCACTGTGGGCTCACAGTCCTCCTCTGATGTGCCGTTCCCTGGAGCCCAGTTCTGATAGCACACGGTCTCTCCACTCACCCAGAACCAGATGCCCAAAGCACAGGAGTGACGCAAACCCAACCACACCGCCTCAGTAGACGCCAGTTTAACCACGTTCATCACCTTATACTGCATCTCCTCTGACTGAACCGAGACCAGATCCACATGATTCTGTCTGCAGTATCTCAGAGCTTCAGACCACGACAGATCCTGTTGGACCACAATCAGTTTATCTGGACACAAAACAAAGCAGAAACTAGAGAGAGACTGATCAACAACAACATGCAGAACAAACACTGTGGAGGAATTTGTCATGTCAGACATGTAGAGTCAACTTTAAGAGATCTGGAGCTGATGATGGATTGTGTGTGTTTGCAGGATCTGCTCACCTTCATGACACACAAAAGGAAACTGGTTGTAATCACTAGAATAGTCACCCCATTGTCCTGATTTGTTTGGTTGAATAGCGGCACTGTATGAAAAATCTTTAAAATTATCTGCCCAGTATCTGAATGAGGAGTTGCTCTGATCTGACCACTGCCATGTGTCACTGAACAGACCGATCCAGACTGCAGATCCAGATGAGTTTCTGTCATTAATGAACTTCTCCAGCTGTTGATTCTCATTTTGGTTCCTCACACTGACCAGATCAATGTGATTCTGTCTGCAGTAACTCTGAGCGTCTCTCCAGTTCATCGTCTGATTGACAAACACCAGTCCTCTGCTCACTTTAAGAAAATCAATTAAGATATTATTTTATCAGTTTATTCTAAGTCTGCTCTATATGAACATAAGCTGCAGTAAAAGAAAAGCTTGTGTAAAGAGGAGTTGTTATGAATTCATTTTAATTATGAATATTACCTTGGTTGCTGTTTAAATTGTTTTTACTATTTCTTGTAAGACTACAATTGAACATTACTGTTTTGTTTGCTTTACAGTTCAGAGTAGGTTTGTCATACAGATTGCCACATGACAAATTACTGTAGATCTGACTGAAATAGACTGACTTAAACTTAAGAACTTATCTTTAATATTGTCACATTTTAATTTCCATTTGAATCATCTTTTGTTAAATGAATGTTTGTTACAGAAGGGGTTTGTACTCACTGTTGTAGCAGATGAAGACACTAGTGTTATTACATGCCTCTTTAATCCATTGTCCATTACACATAACAGTACACTGATTACTGCCAGCTGATTCTCCAGATGTCCAGTTCAGAAAGAGCACAGGATCACCTGAAGACCAATGCCATTTATAAACATTTGCCTTCTGAAGACCAATCCAGACTAACTGATTAACTCCATCATTCACACTCTTCATCAGCTGGATCATGTCATTCATGTTGTCAACAGTGGCCAGATCTGTGTATTTCTTTCTGCAGTATCTCTGAGCTTCAGTCCAGTTCTTGTTCACATTTATAAAGTGATACTGACGCTGAACACATTCAGATATGGAGCAGAGAGCTGTGAAAGAGACACTTTGCTTTAAAGCTTTTCAGAACAGAGTCAAACCTAATGAAACTATAAACCATAAATAAAACTACAAACACACTCACCAATGAGTAGAAGAGGGAAATATAGAGATTGAGCCATTTCTGAGGAGGAAACATTGAAGAACTCAATTACTTAAAAAAAAAAAAAAAACACTAAATAAACAGGATCATAACATGATTCAGTCATCAAGACAACATTGGTAAAAGACTGTATATGGGAGTTGGTCTTACCTCAGAGCTGGTGTGTTTCTGTCCTCGATCTGATGTTTCTGTCTGCAGATTCAGGCTGTGATTATTCTATATCTGCTCTCATCCGTCATTCAAATCACATTTTTTTATTCTAAAATCCAGTTTCACATTTCACTTCCTCTATATGTGTTTTTACTCCAATATTTTCCCCTTATTTGCATCATGACATTTGTGTCAGTCAATATCAGTTAACATAAAACATGTACAACGTAATAATAATAATAATAAAAACATAATTTAGCCACATACTCTGGGACTTGTACCATGATAGTGGCTAGGGTGTTTTATGCTTTTGTTCGTGATATGAGCTGAAGGTTAGCCATAAAGCATAAGTAACTATATTGATGAACACTGCTGTCTAAACCCAGAACTGATGCAAATGAATCTCCTACACCATGAAAACTACACTAGCTTAATTGTGCTGACCCCTGATCAGACTGGTTAAATTTCATTCAGACTAAATTGTTTGACAAGTAATATGGTTCAGGTTCCTGTTACATCTATCCAACCTTAAACACTGACTACTGTACTCTATATAACTTAAGAGATCAGACTATTGAGACGTTCTTCAAAAGTTTGTACATGCTTCATCACAAAACTGATATCAATAAAACCAAAATGATAAACAACACAAGACATCTGTGGAGTGATAAATAGTTAAGATTAAATAAGTATCTGAAAGGCCTGAATGTCTTAAAAAGTTTATCAGAGCTTCCAATACATGAATACTTCAACATAAAAACAGTAGAGACATCCTTGTCTGTGGTTTAAAGCTAATTTGGTTTTACCTTTCCTCATATGTTTTTCCTGTTTCTGTCATCTCTTGGTGTCAGTAAACAACAATGTGCTTCTGTGTCAAATCCTTCAACAGATCTTTAACCTTGAATATTAAATATTATATATTATCTACTGTGTATTTAGATTTTTATTTGAACAGCAAATGGTCTCATGAGTTTGTTCAGAGTTTCTTATTTATATCTAAATGTGTCTGGACAGTCAAATGAGTTTCATGCAGTGAAATAAAGGGTGACTATACATCCTTTTTCTATAGATGTCATGTTTTTGGGACTAAAAATTCTAAATCTATAATTTTGAGGATTCTGTCACGATCACGAGAGGTCTAACCACCATTCTCATTCACACGAACTACAATCCTGCTTCAAAATGAACTACAGATCCAGTCATGCAACACACACCTACACCTGCTCCAAGTCACCATTGATTGCACTCCCACAGCTGATGCTGCTTAATGACTGATTACACACTCATACATACAACTGGATTGCCCATACACTTCTGTTTGTTTCTGTATTGACCATTGCTTGCCTGAACATTATTTAATGAAACCTGCAAAAGGATCCTCACTCCATTTTCCACCATCCACTGTCACATTACAGAAAACTCAGCCAGAAAAAAAATGGATGCAGCATTTTTATTGGTCCATCTACAGCAAAGTAACAGCACCCTCAAGAAGCACATCCAGGACTATCTGAAACTTGTTAACAAGACACATTTACCAGACTGTATGCTCATTGATTGTACGCTCATTTAAACGAGCCCCTTAAGAGCATACTCACCCATCTTGATTCTTGAGGAACAGTCACACTACAGAAATTCCTGGACTTTCACTGTTGTCTGTGGGCTCTTCCTTCACTTTTGGCAAGATGGAGGGGGACTTTGTACAGCAAGTCCCGCTGGCAATGGGGCTTGCTGGAAAGACCACCACAACAATTGAGCTGGCATCACCGATACTCCTGTCCAATACACAACAGCAAGACCTGGGAGCTGCAGGATTTGCCACTCACAAAATGGCTTCCAGCACTATCCAACAGCAATACCTGTGAGCTGCGGGAATTGTCACTCACAAAATGGCCGACTGCAGCACAAAAACTCCTAAGATGGCTACAGCTTAGAGGCCAACTCACACGGTGGTCACTGCCAAACTACCGGTGACCCAGATGGCTTCCTGATCAGAGTCTGTTCCTGTTTTCGTTCCTGTATTTGTTCCTGAAATGCCATGATCTGGGCTTACCCAGAGCTCCCAGATCTGCTACAGCTTGATCCCCTAAGCTTGCATCTACTACATAGACCGGGTACTCCATCTTTCCCCCTGTCTCCTTCCTTCTGAATTGTTTTGGGAGCATCATAATGTGGCTCTAATGGGGCAATTCACATCAGACATGGCCTGCTTGAATGAATTGTGCTATTCGCACATAATTAAACAATTGAACATTTTGAGTTGACTCATTTTATCTGTGCCTCATTCGAAGTGAAATAAACTTGTTTCAAGAGTTCACACTTAGCTGATGATTTACAAAGCTTATTTGGCATGCTGTCCCGGGAGAGAGCCCCGAGCTCAAGGGCTCCTCGAGCCCGGGGCTTCCTCCCGTTGGCAGAGCAAGAAGGGAGCCCGAGCTCGGTGGATCTCAGAACTCCCCTGCTGCTGTAGCTAAGGGAACATAAGGAATTAGACAAGCTTGATTGTTATGTATGTTGAATGTCTTTGGATGGTGGGAGGAAACCGGAGAACCCGGGGAAAACCCACGCGGACACGGGAAGGACATACAAACTCCCCACAGAAACACCCACCGGTCCTATAGAACTAGGACCGGCAGTATTCTTGCTGTGTGGCCCAATCACAGGTAAAGGAGGAGAATAGGGGAGGAGGGGGGTTTCTTCCAAACGAAGATAAAGTGAACTGAAAACTGAGGCTATTTATGGTGCCTTAGGACTCATATGATTGGAAGATTAGTGATTAGCAAATACGACTGGCCGTGATAAATCATAAGCACGTGATCCTCTCGAAATTAGTTTATGAATAAACTTCACTAAATTACCGCGTGTCATGGGAAGAGCATCTGCCTAATGCAACATTAAACTCAAAGTCAGATAAGTTTGGGATATTTCACGTCTTTAGGATGTTGCTTTTCTTTTTTTTCTTTTTTATGACCAGTCAATATTGGTTTAAAATTAAATTGTTAAACACAAAATGACAGCATTAACAGTTTACAGCATTTTTCCCAGAAAAAAAATGTATCATGCAAATTGCAGAATCAACAAATAAAAGCCAATTCAGAAATAAATGCTTCACATCAATTATTCATAGACACATCTAAGAGTATAGATGGATAGTCAAGTACAAATTATACATAGTGTTGAACCTGAGAGCTCTTCACAGAAGAGATCAAGCTTGTGCACTGACACATTTCTTCTACCCTTTAATACTATATGATGCCCCCATTTAGGGAATAAATGATGGTTTAGTGCCTGCCATTTGGGTAGTTTATTAGGGTCTGGCACCCGCCATTCAAGGGATTCAGAGGGATATGTTACCCGCCATTCAGAGATTTCAGCGATATCTGACCCACTATTAGAGGGATTCAGAGGCATCTGGCACCTGCCATTCCAGGTATTCAGAGGGTTATGGCAGCATCAATGTCAACTCTGGCAGCTCGGATGGCTCTGGCCGCAGCAGTGTCAACTCTAATGGTGGCGGTGACGTAGTAGCTCTGGTAATAATAGTTCTGGCAATGGCAGCAGCTCTGGCCACTCAGGTGGTAGTGGTCATTCTTGTGGCTAAGCCGGTGGCATCTCAGGAATAGTAACTTGGACTATGACAGAAAAAGACTTTGAACAACGAATCATCTTCTGAGCTGACAACAGATTAGCAGTGACCATCATAAGAGCTGGCATTTTAGCTGCAGCCATTCTGTGAACTAGAGTCCTGGTGTCGGCCATCTTGTACTTAGGGGGATTGACAGTGGCTATTTTGTAACAGGAGGAAATTGGCATATTCCAAAAAGGGACGTCCGAGTAGAACAGAGTTACGCCCAGTGTTGTAGTGGTGTCTTCTGCAAGCCCCACTGCTCACAAATCTTGCTGTGTGCTGCTGCTGGTGGCCATTTTGTGAGTGGCAAGCCCCATAGCTGGCGGATCTTGCTGTTGAAAGACAGGCAAACGTTCAGGGCAAAAAATCAAATTCACGATAAACAGTCCAAAGTTCAAAACACAGCAAAACAAGGACAATGCTTACAAAATGTGTGCAACAGCTAAACAATACTGTTTGTGAATGAGAAACTAAGGAGTATTTATAATCCGTGTAATTAGGGATGATGAGTTTCAGCTGTGAGTGTGTGTCCCAATAGCTGTCAGTAGAGGCAGGAGTGATTAGCACAAAGGCTGTGTCCGAAACCGCCTACTACTCAGTAGGTACTGCATTTGAATGTAAACGTACTACTCGGCTGTTAGGAAAGTATGTTCTATACAGTATGAATGTGAAAAGTATGAATGGAATTCGGACGTACTACATCCGCCACTTTGTCATGGTCACGTGACCTACCTGTCAGTTGCGTCGCCTCATTTCCATTCAAGAATTCTCTCACGGGGCATTATGGGATAGAGCAGCATGCATGGGATGCACACTTCAGAATCTCGCCAGAAGTAGTAAGTCATCCAGGTACTTCTCGCCTACTGATTTCTAATTCTATGAATTCGGACATACTACTCGGCTCGCATACTGATTTTAGCTTACTATGTAGTATGGAAGTATGCGGTTTCGGATGCAGCCAAAGAGTTCTGAGAGTTGTAGTTCAATAAGGAAGTCATCTCCAACAGAGAAAACACCGCTGGTTATTACGATGGATTACAGGAATTAATCGCCAGCAGAGACAACACCACTGGTGAGGCTGCTCCCCAAGCACACATACACACACAGACACAGGTCAAGTTGTCAAAAGGGGTAACAGATTTATTAAACAAAAAGATCAATATCAGAACCAGGAAACAAAAAGGCCAAACAAACAAACAAAACAAACCAAAACAAGGTACGCTACCTAATATTAAATTTCTTACCTAAAACGAAAATAAAGTTCTGTAAATAAAGCATACAATTCTACCCTCCATAACTAACCATTAAACATGAGAAAACGAGACAAAAGAAAATGGGCCTTCCCTTTGATCATTCAGCAGTAGGTAAATATTAGCCACAGCTAACACAGGATACCATCCTAGTACCGTATTTAACAGAGAATCTCACCAGATGACTTGAGACAGGGTTGTAGAAAGGTATTAAACAATCAGCCACCACTAATGCAAGTTACTGTCCTATTACCGTATTTAACAGAGTATCTCACCAGATTACTTTGGATCAAGGTTTCAGACAGAAAGATATCTGTCACACAGAGAACTCACACACACATGCACACACACAAGCAGCGTCCCAAATGACACACTATACACTATGCACTCATGTACTATATACTTATGCACTCACACACTCAACAGGATAGTATAAGTATGTAGTGGCGTCCCAAATGGCACACTAATGGTTTTTTTACTAGGCGGAAATTCAAACCGTTTCCCTGATGACGTTTGACGGTTGCCAAATCAGTGAAATAAACGACCGAATTATCAATTAATACCTGCCGTGAGTATAACCGCATTCACCATCAGGAGGCGCTATAATCACTCTCGTAGGAGAATTATGCTTTCACCATCCAAAGTGAATAAAGTTATTTAACATGTGCGTCCGTTAGCTCCGCCCCTTCCGCTACATAAGCAAACCTGCGGTCATTGAGTGCGTGAAGTGTCCATCATTACACACTTCATTTTAGCGGCTGAATGAGTGCATCATCCGGGTCATTAAAGCGCACTTATAATTTTTAGAGTTTTCAGTGTGAACGCACTACTTACACTATTTATACTACAAAATGGCGTAGAATAGTGCATAAGTATGCAATTTGGGACGCAGCTAATCACACACACACAAACACACACAACAGAGAGGGGAAACAGGAAGAGAACTCAACAAGCAGCGTCAACAGCATGCTTTTATAGCTGGCGCCGCCCCTCTCACAGCTACACCTGGGGCCTGTTTCAGTAAGGAGGTTCAAACAACTCGGAGTTTAAACTTGAACTCTGAGTTGATTTACCGAGAGATTAAAAACTCTGAGTTTTCGGTTTCAGAATAGCTGATCTGAGTTGGGTCAATCAACTTTGAGTAGACCAACTCAGAGTTAAGCGCACACACCATGACTATAAAAAGGCATTATCAATGGAGCGCAGATATTATGAGTGACCATGGCAAGATCTTAAAAAAAGAGATCACCATTTCTTTCCCCAGCTGAACTTGATCTGCTCATGCAAAGTTTTAGCAAATATGAGTGTATAAACTTAAAAAGAAGCAACCATCAGTGAAACAGAGACAGTTAGCCTGGGAAAACAGCTGCTCAAGTTAATGCATAATTTTTTATTTAAATTATTTAAACATTTAAGTATAATAAAATAAGTAATATAATGTGTGACGTTTATACTTTTTTCTAAACTTTTATACACGTTTATCAGTTTTAATAGATTTAACAGTGCACTTGTGTGTCTGCCTTTTTATTGATCAAGAGATAGAGGTTGATATAACACTAAGAACCTAAGCAGTGCTAAAAATAATTTTTAGACAGAATAATAATCCCATTAATCTAGTAACAGTACTTGTCGAAGGTTAAGCTGAATATTTATGGAAAAAAGGACAAGCCTTGTACGTGACTTTGTTCTGTGTGTGACAAAAAATGTAGGCAATAGTTATGTTTCCATCAAAATCAGGCTTACATAAATTTGTGCAAAACTGGAATAATGCCTAAAAGATGCGAATAAAGCAGCGTTTTTATCCAACGAGTCAAAGAGAACACAATCGTCACTTCCTGATTAACTTGCGCCAAATATCAACAGTAAAAACAGAATTTACTGCGGTAGAACAAGCTGCGTTAATGACTTTTTATTTAATACTTGCGCCTCAGAAGACACAATGAACACGTGGGGGCGTTTGAAGCCAGACGCGGCCAATCTTGGCACGCTCCAGACGCTCGGAGGTAATTGATAATATACACTAATACTGAAACAGTTAAGGCATTTTAGAATGACTAAAACAACATTTAAGATGTTCTACTGTGTGCTCAGTCAGCTGGTTTGTCCATTTACTCATATTTTCATCATCATCTCTAACAAACTTTTTTTTAATGTACATACTGTAATTTGTTAAGTGCACTTCGTAGTTTATGCGCATCTTTTCTTATCAAATAAAAGTTTAACCTACTCAGTTATGCAAATGTTTTATTATGAATATTTTCAAAAGTTATGTGAATCATGACGTTTCCATCAATCATTTTTATGGGCATCTCCAAAATGAGCTCTAAAATAGGTGTGTGGAAATGTAAGACTAATGCGAGAAATACGCTTCAACTTTAAAAAAGGGGAGGAGACCGACAGAAACTCAGAGTTTAGAGAATAAAACCTGCTCCAGACCAGGTTAGATTCACAGAGTAAGTTACCACAGTAACTGACTCTGAGTTAAAGTTACCTTTCTTTCAGAAACAGGCTTGATTTCCCTGATTTCTTGAGTTTAACAAACCTGCCATTTTGAAACCGAAAACCCAGAGTTTCTCTCATTTCAGGGTTAAAATACTCTGGGTTTTCACTAAACCACCTTTCTGAAACAGGCCCCTGATCTCCACTCATGTGGAGAGAAAGAGACAGATAATGGAGGATACAACACACACAGGAACAATACACACTAGCATTGTCAAAAATAATGTTACTCAATATGTAACAGACATGAAACTGAAGTATGTACAGTCAGTTATTGTTCTAATAAATGTCTAAAAACAGTCAGATATTGTTATTGTTTTAATTAAATTTCATTCAGTGTCATTTGACAAATGCAAAAATGTTCAAAAGAGTAAATGCAAAAGGCTTGCTTGTCTGAAATGTATTTGTCACGGTTTATGGATCTGTGTATTCCTCCTGTATGTTATGTATCATGCCTTGTGTGTTGTCATGTGTGAGGGTGTGTGTTTGTTTACCTTTTGTGTTGACAGCGTGCTAGGATCAGTTGATGTCATCAGCTGACTTATCATCCTCCAGCTGAACCTCATTTGGCTGGCTATATAATTCCTCCTGTGGTATGTGCTGGTTATCAGTCCATTGTTGTCCTTGTTTGTCCTTGTTCCTGACTGTTTTCTCCCAGTATCATCCGCTGTCTGTTTGATGTCATCGTTGTGGCCTGTGGCTCTCTTTTGTTTGAACTTTCGTGTGTCCTCTGTTCATTAAAACACTCGCATTTGGATCCTCCTTGTCTTGATTCGTGACAGTATTAATGTAAATTTACTTTTTGTTACTGTTAAAATAGTTTCAATAATGAATGTAGAAATGTTTAATTGTGCATCTCGATCAACTCCCTTTTAATGCAGTGGCATAAAGACAGATTGTCCTCAGAATCGTCAGTGATTCACATTCAAGCAGTCATTTTTGATATAAAGACAAGATAGAAATAATACAGACAACTCTATAGGTGAAAAACAATTACCCATCATGCCCATAACCATCATACAGTGATCAGTAAAAGACATATTAGGAAAACCCAGATATTAATTATACAGACACAGGTTCACAGAAGCTTCACTCACAAGTAACAAAGCACTGAAATTTAAAATCAAAGCTTCAGTCAATGAAATCACTTGACTGTCTGATGAGTCCTCAAAACCTTTTACTAAACTTTTAGTGAAATGTGAACAAAACCAATTGGTGGTTTATTATTTTATAAATGTAATTTATTCAAACCAACATTTGGGTTTGTCTATATTTTACCCAATTCTCTAGCTTTTTTACAGTGTAGTATCAGAAAGATTTTAAATCCCCACAAGCTGCACTTTAAATATGCTCATCACTATCATAATGCATTAATGCCTGCTGATGTTGAATATTAAATGTAAAATGATTACTTCAGTGATAAATGAACACATTCCTCATCTTACTTCTTCACTCTCAGTAGTTTCTGCAGATGAAGTTGAGTCGGTCAGTTTCAGGACGGCTGATCCAGGTCTGATCTCCTCCAGACTGAACTGCTCCAGATCTCACTGTGGGCTCACAGTCCTCCTCTGATGTGCCGTTCCCTGGAGCCCAGTTCTGATAGCACACGGTCTCTCCACTCACCCAGAACCAGATGCCCAAAGCACAGGAGTGACGTAAACCCAACCACACCGCCTCAGTAGACGCCAGTTTAACCACGTTCATCACCTTATACTGCATCTCCACTGACTGAACCGAGACCAGATCCACATGATTCTGTCTGCAGTATCTCAGAGCTTCAGACCACGACAGACTCTGCTGGATCACAATCAGTTTATCTGGACACAAAACAAAGCAGAAACTAGAGAGAGACTGATCAACAACAACATGCAGAACAAACACTGTGGAGGAATTTGTCATGTCAGACATGTAGAGTCAAATTTAAGAGATCTGGAGCTGATGATGGATTGAGTGTGTTTGGAGGATCTGCTCACCTTCATGACATATAAAAGGAAGCTGATTGTAACCACTAGTGAAGTCACCCCATTGTCCCTGTTTGTTTAGTTGAATCGCTGCATTTTTTCCATTATTTTTAAAATTATCTGCCCAGTATCTGAATGAGGAGGTGCTGTTGTCTGACCACTGCCATGTGTCTCTGAACAGACCGATCCAGACTGGAGATCCAGATGAGTTTCTGTCATTAATGAACTTCTCCAGCTGTTGATTCTCATTCTGGTTCCTCACACTGACCAGATCAATGTGATTCTGTCTGCAGTAACTCTGAGCGTCTGTCCAGTTCTTCAACTGATTGACAAACACCAGTTCTCTGCTCACTTTAAGAAAACAAAATAAAAACTTTATATATTTATTTAATTTTTATTCTGCTGTATGCTTTGTATATAAACAGAAGCAGCACTTAAGTTAAAGAAAAGCCTGTGTTATAAAAAGATGAATTGTTATGAGTTCAAAATGATTATGAATATTACCATGGTTACTAATTCAAGTTTTTAAACTATGGCTTGCAAAACAAAAACATATTGAACTTTAACTTCAGCATCTTTTTTATGTTTATATTTCAGTTCAAAGTAGATTTGTCAGACATATCTGCTATAAAATTACAAATTAGATATGACTGGAAATATTTGTTTACTCATATTAAATTTTTTAAGCACATTTTGTTAAATGTATGTTTTGTACAGTAGAGGTTTGTACTCACTGTTATAGCAGATGAAGACACGAGTGTTACTACATGCCTCATTCGCCCACTGTCCATTATTCATCACAGTACACTCATTACTGCCAGCTGGATCTCCAGATGTCCAGTTCAGAAATGACACAGGATCACCTGAAGACCAATGCCATTTATAAACATCTGTCTTCTGAAGACCAATCCAGATTTTCTGAACACCTCCATCATTCACACTCTTCATCAGCTGGATCATGTCGTTCATGTTGTCAACAGTGGCCAGATCTGTGTAATTCTCTCTGCAGTATCTCTGAGCTTCAGTCCAGTTCTTGTTCTCATTTATAAAGTGATACTGACGCTGAACACATTCAGATATGGAGCAGAGAGCTGTGAAAGAGACACTTTGCTTTAATGTTTTTCAGAACAGAGTCAAACCTAATGAAACTATAAACCATAAATAAAATTACAAACACACTCACCAATGAGTAGAAGAGGGAAATATAGAGTCTGAGCCATTTCTGAGAAAGAAACATTAAAAAACTCAATTACTTTAAAAAAAATTACTAAACAAACAGGATCACGACATGATTCACAATAATAGAGACAACATTGATTAAATACTGTAGATGTGTGTGTCCTTACCTCAGAGCTGGTGTGTTTCCGTCCTCGGTCTGATGTTTTTGTTTGCAGCTTCAGGCTGTGATTATTCTATATATTCACTCATCCGACATTCAAATCACATTTATGTATTATTCAAAAACCCTGTTTCAAATTCTATGTATGCACTCATCTGTCATTCAAATCACATTTGTTTATTATTCTAAAACCCTGTTTCACATTTACTTCCTCTATATGCTATTTTAACTCCATTATTTTCTCCTTATTTGCATCATGACATTTGTGTCAGTATCAGTAAACATGAAACATGTACAACGTAATAATAATAAAACATTTTTTAGCCACATTATTTGGGTCTTGTACCATGATAGTGGCTAGAGTTTTTATGCTTTTGTTAATCATGATATGGGCTGAAGGTGAGCCATGACGCACTAGCGACTATATTGATGAACACTGCTGTCTAAACCCAGAGCTGATGCAAATGAATCTCCTATTCTTTGAAAGTTACACTAGCTTCATTGTGCTGACCCCTGATCAGACTGGTAAATTCCTTACTTCATTTTTGGACTAGTAATATGGTCCAGGCTCCTGGTACATTTATCCAACCTTAAACACTGACTACTGTACTCTGTGTAACTTAAGAGATCAGACTACTGAGACGTTCTTCAAAAGTTTAAACATGCTTCATCACAAAACTTATATCAATAAAACTAAAATGATAAACAGCACAAGACATCTGTGGAGTAATAAATAAAGATAAAATAATTATCTGAAAGGCCTGAATGTCTTATCAGCTTTATAAGAGCTTTCAATACATGAATACTTGAACAAGGAAACATCCTGCTCTGTGGTTTAATGCTAATTTGGTTTTAGCGTTCCTCATTTGTTTGTCCTGTTGCCGTCATATCATGGCATCAGTGAACAACAATGTGCTTCTGTGTCAGACCCTTCAACAGATATTAAACCTTGAATATGAAATATTATCCACTGTGTATTTAGATGATCATTTGAACAGCAAATGGTCCCTGGTGAAAAAAAAGTATACTAAATTGTATTGCAAATATATTTTTTATTCCAATAGTACATTAAAAGTATACTAATTAAAAAGTATATTTAATTTAAATATATTAAAAATGTATTATTACCATACTTTTATATATAGCTTTTAACACACTTTAAAATAATTGTAATTTAGTATATTTACCAAAAATATATTTTAGAAAAATGCACTTTAATTACATGCTTAGTTTATTTTTTACAAGTGTAGTTATTTAGCATTTGATGAAAATATATTTTAGTATTATTTTAACTGTGCTTTGAAAATTAACTTGTAAGAATGTTCAAAGCACATTATAAGTTTTATACTTTGTTAAATTCTATCTATCTATCTATCTATCTATCTATCTATCTATCTATCTATCTATCTATCTATCTATCTATCTATCTATCTATCTATCTATCTATCTATCTATCTATCTATCTACCCATTTAAAACATTTGTAAATAGTGTGCAAACATACACTGTTAAAACAATTCCCAGAAACTCACAACATTATAGTATCCCTTTACTGGATTCAACTGTAAAAAATCACAGTAATATAATGTAGGCCTACTTAAAATTTTATCTTGACATTAAGGTTGGCAGCAAAGGGCTATATTTTTTGCACATTAGTTATAGGGATTCAAATTCTTTTTATTTTTGCATAAAAATTGATACAGTAGAGCAGGCACTGTATATTAAAGATATATTTTTCACATCTTTAAATTTGACTACCAACATCTTATAAGGTAACAAGTAAATATGACATTTTTTTATGAACATAATTTTGTGCTTAGCCAAAACGTAATAAAGTGTAACAAAAATAATTGATTCATGAAACCAAAAAAGTGTTAAACACACCCTGAAGTTAGGAATCTCCGCTGCCGACTCATTTAAAATGACACAATATTAATAAATAAACCAAAAACTAAAAACTATTGATTAAAACAATATCACTTTTGCACTGGTTCAATGGTACTCCCGTGACAGTGAATCGAATTGAACTGTTTGCTCAGGAGCCGAGCAGTTTAAGGGCCTACTCACACTATGCCATCCGTACCGTGCCCAGGCCCGTTTCCCGGATCGTTTGAGAAGTGTGAGTGCGCTGAATAGGGCTCAAGCACGGTTCACTTGGCCAGCCCAGGTCCGGTTGGAAGAGGTGTGTCTGAACGCGGTTCACTTGGGCTTTGGCGCGGTACATTTGTAGTGAGAGTGAAAGCGTGCCAGAGCCCGAAACTAAAGATGCTACGTCATTTGCTGCGACGCTTCAAAACAGGAAAAAGTCAAGTTACATCACTTTCTGCGACGCTTCAAACTCCCAAAGCAACCGGAAAAGGACGAGTGACGCATTTTCTGCGACTATTCCAAAAACAACCATGGCGTGGAAAGGATCCCTTTGGTCAACTGATGAGGTGCAGTGTTTGTTGGATGTTTGGGCTGACGAGAGCATTCAAGAGCAGCTGGACAAAACTCACAAGAACTCCAAAATATTTAGGAAAATTAAGGATCATCTTCTCGGCCGTGGTTACCAAAGAACCACCGAACAATGCCGGGAAAAAATAAAAAAACTACGGGCACAGTACTTAAAAGTGCCTGACGCCCTCCGTAGATCTGGGAGCTCTGCAGAAAAAAAGATAAATTTAAATGGTATGATGCTGTCGACAACATTATCGGCAGCAAACCATCCAGCCAGCTAAATGTGTTGGAATTCCATTCCCAAAGCATGGGTGATTCTACGCCATCTACACCATCTGAGACGGAGGACACGGGATCGGAGAGATCCCAGCATGGTGAGTAACGTTGCTTCAGCATATGCATGTCCCAGACAATGAAAATGACATGTTTTATTATTTATATATAACCAAGAAACAAAGGTAACTGTAGTAAACTATGGTTTCCACAAATTTACCAATATTGTAATAGCAAACATGTTTTACTAAAAATGGAAAAAAGTAAAATGATCATAAGGCATGTTTGTTTACTGTGCATTATGAAAATGTTTATATTTGTGTTTTCTTTTCTTGCAATTCGACAGTTATGCCCTGGTTCGGACTCACCTGGCACCTCAAACAGTAGTGTTGAGACACTAGAAACTACACCTTCCAGGGAACAAAGGAAGAGGAAAAGAAAGGTGGAGGCAAACGACACTATGGCTGCCTTTGTAAATCTGCAGAAACGGCAGTATGACGAATCTATGGAGGGGGAACAACTGCGTTACCAGCAAGAAAGAGAAATGCTGGATAATTGGATGAAAGCTCAAGCTAATGTGGAGGAGCGTAGACTGCAGCAGCATCAAGAAACCACAATGTTGTTTATGCAAACAATGAACAGACTCATTGATGCCATGGTGCCTACAAACTCTCATCAGCATTCTTCTTTTCGTGGCCATGTTCCTACACCTCCTACTGCAACTCCTCCACAGCGGCCATACCCTCACCCTACCCAGTCATCATCACCCTACCCAGAACTTGAAAATGTGACTCATCCCCAGTATCAACAGCACACCGAGTTATCACAGTACTCTGAATGTGATATGTCAAAAGTTTATCGGAAGCTTTAAAAAACTTGTTTTTGTAGTATTGTTTTCTTTTACTTAGAATAACAGTTTTACATTTTTTTAAGTTTATATATATATATATATATATATATATATATATATATATATATATATATATATATATATATATATATATATATATATATATATATGTGTGTGTGTGTGTGTGTGTGTGTGTGTAAGTGTTTTTTTTTTAAATAAACACTTGGTTACCGTTCTTTAAAGGCAATGTATGCTGCCAAAAAACTGCACTTTGTTGTTGTACCTTAGTATGCAACAAACTTTAGTTTTGATTTTGCTTTCTTAATTTTGTTCTTTTATATAGTTTTTTCTTTATATAATAGTTTATATATTATAGTTTGTGTTGTTTTTCTTTTCTTTATATAAGAGTTGTTGTACTTATATATTTATATATATTATATTTATATATGTATATATACATATTTTATATATTTTTGATAGTTATTCAACCACAATGTATATCTCTAAAAACTGCACTTTATTGTAATACCTCAGTATTCAACAAACTCTATATTTGATTTACTTTCTTTTTGATTTTCTTTTATGTCCCATTACTGCACACGGTCATCTACTGTAAAGTACTCTTAGTACTGCAGAATGTGCTTCTTATATTTTAAATAAAATTTTTGGATATTATCTAATGTTTTGTGTGTTAATACATAATTAGAGCAGTTCTGAAAATAAGCAATATGTCTTTATTGACAACAATCACAGAAGTAGTATACCAATACTAACAGGGTAAATAACTATGCAACATTACACAAAGTATGCCATCAAAACCATTGTCATCTCCAACAGAGAAAACATGCTGGTTACTATAATGGATTACAGGAAGTAATCGCCAGCAGAGACAACACCACTGGTGATTGCAACAATGAGAGCAAAGAATGGTTCTTTTGTTTAGGTTAACCAGGTATAGCAGGGTGGCGTGAAAATGCAGACACAAGTTGTAGCTAAGTGAACACACCCGCAAAAGGGTTTTTACTTACAGTGCTGCTGAAACGTAACATGCTGTAGGTGTAGCCCTAGCTGTAAAGGTGTCACTCAAGTGACCACGTCTTTGATTATGCAGAGTTTTTCATTCATTCCATCATTTTCTGTTCAGCTTAGTCCCTTTATTAATCCAGGGTCGCCACAGTGGAATGAACCGCCAACTTATCCAGCATGTTTTTATGCA